GCTCGTGAGAGAGCAGGGTGAAGCAGCTGGCAGTGCTATGGCAAGTTGTGGCCAGGCGCCATCTCTGGCTGTAACAGTCCATGCTGCAGCCAGCGGATAAGGCTTGTCTGCTCAAACTGCCTATAAAACCATCTGCCATGTTTGGTCCTGATGCAACCATGATCATTCAGCAGGGCCAGGAAGCCCATTGCTGTGCTAAGGAGGTGTCAGGCACCTCGAAGCAAAGTCAGGGCTGGCAGCGGCCTTAGCTGCAGCAGCCCAAGCAACCTCAGCCTGCTTGGGGGCAGGAAGATCTGCAGGGCCGGCTGGGCACAGTCTGGCGTGGTAAGTCTAAACGGGCAGTGGCAGTGATCAGAGGCCACCCAAGCCCATGCCTCAGTCCTGACGCGACATCACCCCCAGCCTTCCCTTGCCCTCAGACGGCATGGGAGGTTCTGGGGGCAGACCCCTGGGTTGTTTCAACAATGACCCAGGGATATCATTTACAATTCTGAAATGCTCCTCCCCTGACGCAGGTGGCAGCATTTTCCATTATTGCAGACCACTGGCACAGGGAGGTCTTGCGCTCGGAAATCTTCAATCTAATGGCGAAGTCAGCTATCAGGGAAGTGAAGGAAGAAGATCAGCAGGCAGAGTTTTATTCACGTTATTTTCTTGCTCCACAGAGGTACAGGATGCACAGGCCTGTCTTAGACCTCATGTCTGGTGGTTTGAAACCATCGACCTCAAGGACACCTATCTTCAAATCCCAATCTGGGAGGGGCACAGGAGGTTTCTCAGGTTTGCCTTCCAGGGAAAAACCTTCAAATTGAGTCCTCCCCTTCGGCATCTCACTGGCACCCTGCACCTTCACCAGGTGCATGGATGCAGTTTTGGGGCCTATGCAGCAGCAGGGTCTCAGGATACTGAACTATTTAGATGACTGGTTTATATATGCACAGACAGAGGAGCAGTGCCGCCATCATGTGTCTGTGCTGTTGGATCACATTCAGGGTCTGGGACTGCGCATCAACGTGAAAAAGTGCAGTCTCCAGCCTGCACAGGCCACCCAGTTTCTACGTGTAGCAGCTGAGTACTGTGGCTAACTACTACAACCCCCCCCCCCCCTGTAAGGCCCGTAATAATGAGGACAACTGTTAGAGAATAATTACTTGTTTTAATTTAAAAAAGAGGTAGCATTAGATGATTTACAGTGAATGGGTCAATACACTTAGCTAGGCAGTATGACAATAAAAACACTGGGATGTAAGGTGCTATATAAAATAAATAAAGTAAAACACAACACACTCCATGCAATTAAAACACCTTGTCTATGATAAAATAAAACCATGCAAATAAAAATTTGTCACAATGCCCAGCTTCTTTCTCCCCCGTTATCAAACCACTGCTACAAGCTAAAAGGTGCTTTGGCTCAGGTTTACAGACAAATAAAACATAGAATCAATAAAACCAAACAATACTAAAACAACGGCTGACAACTGCACCATGCACCGGGCTCTGAAAAGACAGATAAAAGTTACTCTCCAACAATGTACATCAGCAATGCTAAAAACAATAAACAATAAAAAACATAAAATGTAAAAATAAAAGCGCATTACCCCAATTGTTTGTGGCCAACCTCTCTTGCTGTCGCGTCTGCCTGACGGTGCGATATGCTTCCGTCGCTGTGGCTATTTGTGCCGATCCCCTCTCTTGTTGTCGCGTGTGCCTGACGGTGCAATTGTTAGGTCACTGGGTAATAAGTTACTTTAAAAACAGTTTAAGAATCCTGCTGTACATACCCATGCTCGTAGCTTTTCTGCTAACTGGATACACAGGACCCCAACACACCTGGCTGTCTAATGCAGCGCCTGCTCATAAATAGTGTGTGAGATGGGAGTTAAACGCAGCTGGCCCTGATTACCTACTCACCCGGTCACATACGCATGTGGCTGAATGCCAGAGCTGGGTTGGTGATGCTGTCACAGGAGAGGCAGGTTTCAATCAGGACCTGCCTCTCTCATTTTCAGCTGGGTGCCAGGTACACGTGGCGGCTGTGTCTCCACCTTTTGGGTCTTATGGCAATCTCGGTACAAGTGGTGTCTTTGGTTCTTCAACTCATGGGTCCAGTCCAGAGGCATCTCTTCAACCTGGGGCTCTGTCTGTAGAGACAGCCGGGTACTCTCTATGGATGCGTCCCTGGAGGGGTGGGGCGCACTCCATGAGGGCAGGGGCACCAGTGGAGTCTGGAGTGCCCGCTGGAAGGGCCAGCATATCAATGCTGTACAACTGAGAGCCATTCACCTGGCCCTCCAGCATTTTCTCCCAAGTCTGCAAGGCCGTCACATGCAAGTAAGAATCGACAGCACAGTGGCAGCAGCATATGTCAACAGGCAAGGGGGCCTGGGCTCCCTAAACCTCTGCAGAATAGCACACAGGCTGTGGACCTGGACAGGAACATGGGGGGAGCCACCCTTTGCTCTGATTACTGCTTTGCACACTCTTGGCATTCTCTCCATGAGCTTCAAGAGGTAGTCACCTGAAATGGTTTCCATTGGCCATCATTACTTTAAGAAATGAAGGTCAGTCAGTTCGGAAAATTGCAAAAACTTTAAATGTGTCCCCAAGTGGAGTCGCAAAAACCATCAAGCGCTACAACGAAACTGGCACACATGAGGACCGACCCAGGAAAGGAAGACCAAGAGTCACCTCTGCTTCTGAGGATAAGTTCATCCGAGTCACCAGCCTCAGAAATCGCAAGTTAACAGCAGCTCAGATCAGAGACCAGATGAATGCCACACAGAGTTCTAGCAGCAGACCCATCTCTAGAACAACTGTTAAGAGGAGACTGCGCCAATCAGGCCTTCATGGTCAAATAGCTGCTAGGAAACCACTGCTAAGGAGAGGCAACAAGCAGAAGAGATTTGTTTGGGCCAAGAAACACAAGGAATGGACATTAGACCAGTGGAAATCTGTGCTTTGGTCTGATGAGTCCAAATTTGAGATCTTTGGTTCCAACCGCCGTGTCTTTGTGAGACGCAGAAAAGGTGAACGGATGGATTCCACATGCCTGGTTCCCACTGTGAAGCATGGAGGAGGAGGTGTGATGGTGTGGGGGTGTTTTGCTGGTGACACTGTTGGGGATTTATTCAAAATTGAAGGCACACTGAACCAGCATGGCTACCACAGCATCCTGCAGCGACATGCCATCCCATCCGGTTTGCGTTTAGTTGGACGATCATTTATTTTTCAACAGGACAATGACCCCAAACACACCTCCAGGCTGTGTAAGGGCTATTTGACCAAGAAGGAGAGTGATGGAGTGCTGCGGCAGATGACCTGGCCTCCACAGTCACCGGACCTGAACCCAATCGAGATGGTTTGGGGTGAGCTGGACCGCAGAGTGAAGGCAAAGGGGCCAACAAGTGCTAAACACCTCTGGGAACTCCTTCAAGACTGTTGGAAAACCATTTCAGGTGACTACCTCTTGAAGCTCATGGAGAGAATGCCAAGAGTGTGCAAAGCAGTAATCAGAGCAAAGGGTGGCTATTTTGAAGAAACTAGAATATAAAACATGTTTTCAGTTATTTCACCTTTTTTTGTTAAGTACATAACTCCACGTGTTCATTCATAGTTTTGATGCCTTCAGTGAGAATCTACAATGTAAATAGTCATGAAAATAAAGAAAACGCATTGAATGAGAAGGTGTGTCCAAACTTTTGGCCTGTACTGTATATATAAAATGTATAATTTTAAAAAAAAATCCAACAAACTCTGATAACACAATTATCTCTATACAAACTATACTGTTTTTTGTCAGAGTTCACTAGCATGACTGTGGACTCTTGTCTTCATATATAAAGCATATTTAATACATTTTTAAAAACTCTAATATTTCTTTATTAGCCATGACTGAATATTTGAGATCATAGGAAAAAAAAATGTCTCCCCTTCTGTTCCTGAGATACGACACTGACTTAGGGCCAGAAAAGTGTTTTTTGCAAAACAATTTGATGTCACAGTTAAGGTAACCTTTTGGATTAAATGTCATCACTTCATAACTTTACCCTATTAGATATTTGTTTGAAATTTTGTCATAATCAATGTATGAAATTGTGGCCAAAAACATGTTGTGAGGTCAAAGTGTATTTGACCACCAAAATCTTATCAGTTCATCCTTGGGTCCAAATGAATGTTTGTGCTAAATTTTAAGAAATTCCCTCAAGGTGTTCTTGAGATACCGGGGTTCATGAAAATGTGATGGACAAGGTCACAGTGACCTTGACCTTTGACCACCAAAATCTAATCAGTTCATCCTTGAGACAAAATGGACATTTGTGTCAAATTTGAAGCAAATCTCCTCAGTCATTCTTGGGATATTGCATACATACTGTAAACCCCAAAATAAACGCCTCCTGCCACGGCTATTGCCAGAGTGGGGGTATAATTAAGTTTGAACTTTTTCTTTCTTTTCATTTTTTTTTTTAAAGATTTTTTTTTGGGCTTCTGCCTTTAATTGACAGGAGAGTGAAATGGGGGAGTGAGAGAGAGTGGGGGGATCACATGCAGCAAATGACTGTGAGCCTGAGTTGAACCTGTGACCACTGCAGTGAGGCATCGCCTCTGTATGTGGGGCGCAGGCACTATCCACTACGCTACCGACGCCCCAAGTTTGAACTCTTTCTGACACAGTAGAAAAGGCAGATGATACAGGCAAAAAATGAATCCCAATACTTTCATAGAAAAACTTAAATGTAGTGACAGTGACAGATGGATATCACATAAGGTTTTTTTTTTCTTCTTTCAACCTCTTGACCAATAATCAGAGTATAAACAATGTATTGCCCTTTGACACATAACACGGACAAGTCATCATTATTGCGACTTGTTTCCAGACTGACATCTTTGCTCGGATGTTCAGTGTCACTGTCTCTCCAGGACTTGCTGTCTCTCTCTGTCGTTGAGGCAACATGGCTGATGTCCTGTCAAATGCAGAAAGAAGCATTCGCACAATCAATGCATTACTTTCAAGCTCCATTTAATGTCCTAGCAAAAGGAGTATGTGACTGTTCTAAGGAGTGAGTAAAATAGAAAGTGCATTTTTTTGTTCACTGGAATTCAACATAATAAAAAAGATCAAAGCAATTTTTTTATGTCAGATGGAGCAGAATTATTAATTTTGTAGAAATAGCAAAGAAATCAGTAAAGGTACTCTGTTGGAGTATTTGGTGGTATGGTGTAGATCAAAGGCACATCACAGCTTTGTATCTCACTGGGGATTGTTGCACACGCACAGAAAACACATACACATGCACAAGCCTTCAAAATACATTTCCCATGTGGCTCTGACACACAGTCTTACGATCTACAGTCATGTCGATGGAGAAGTTTTGAGATGCAACAAATGTTTATCCAGAGCATGGTGCTTTTTAATTTGGAGCCTGTAAAAGGGATAACATAGCATTTAAGAATGTCCATCTCAGCCTTTATTGTGGATATGATCCTGGAGAAATCAAATGAAGCAATGGATGACCAGAGGGGCTTTTTATCTCAGATTCTCTTACGTGGGTTTCTTTTTCTCTCATATTTTAAATAGTATCCTTAAAGAATGACCAATATCCTTGGTTACAACTGTTGTCGCTCTAACAGTCAAAAAGAAAAAAAAGAGGAAATTAACATTCAGTAAACATTCTTCTCTAAAGGTAGTTTCCCTTATATAATCTGTATTTTTTTCTCTGCCAGTATACATAAACAAGTTTAATAACATACCAATCAGTGGTTATTTCACAATTGGAAAAAGCACAAAATGTTTACACTCTTTTACAGGTAAATAAAAGTTTTTGTCGACTGTTTTCAATAAGGGCGTAGCATACTTCATAGTTCATCTCATCGCGTTCCCCACATCCCCTGCTATTTTGCTATTAGATCTTTACATACAAATATTGACAAAGTGGTGGCTTGTGCTCTGAAGCCATCGAGTCTTTACGAGAGTAATAATCATCAGAATGAGGAGGGAGGACGGGGGAGGGTTTGGAGATGCTGGGGAGGGAGGAGGCGGGAGGGTGGGGACTCATAGTTGGCCCTCACTGCAGTGGCTGTCCTGACTGCCACTGGGTTTTTCTGCATCCTGGCTGGGCAGCTCTTTGAGGATGAGGGCGGCACTCCGTTCTGAGAACTCGTCACCGTCGGGCTCCAGACCGTCGGGACAGGGCAGCTTCAGGAGCTCCTCTCTGAGCTGAGCCGTGTGTCTCTGCAACACACACACAAACATGGTCAGGCTTAACATTAAATGAAACATTAATGGAATATATCACATTTCTAGAGTAACATGGCCAACCTAGCTGTTAAATGATAAGTCTGGAGCTATTCTATATTTATCTTATTGTCAACAAATTTCATGAAAAGACCAAAACCAACAATTTGTAAGTCCATCTCTTGATACACTGACATTTCTACTTTGTCTACGGCTCTCAGTCAGAAGCCCACTGGTTCCTACTGCAGATGGAGATCTTTTAAAACATCTCATAAATAACAAGTTACATCTATCTAGAATTACGGCATCATGGTTGTATGCCTCTGTGAACCCATCAAGTTGCAGTTACAGTTTATATCCGTATCTGTGAAAACACGGATGCTTCACACTCTTCTTCCCCCCAGCAGCTCAGACAATCTATACAATCAGCACAGTTTCAAGGTGGACACCCAAGATAAGTGTCACTAATTTAGTATCTGACCAAATGTCTCCACCTCTGTTCCTAAGATATGACACTGAACAATGGCCAACAAAGTGTTTTTATCGAAACATTATGATGTCACAGTTAAGCTGACCTTTTGGATATTACATGTCATCACTTTACTTCACTTTATTCTATTCAATATTTGTGTGAAATTTTGTTGTAATTAATGTATGAATTCCTGAGTTGTGGATGAAAACGTGGTCACAGTGATCTTGACCTTTGACCACCAAATACTAATCAGCCCATCTTTTAGTCCAAGTGAATGTTTGTGCCAAAAATTTCCTCAAGTAGTTTCTGAGCTATCGCATCCAAAAGAATGAGACAGACAAGGTCACAGTGACTTTTACCTCTGGCCATCAAAATATATATACATATATTTTTTACTAGAAACCTGCATAACTATCAATGAGGGCTGTGCCATAACATCTTGTTCACATTGACAGTTATAATTTTTTATAGGATATGAAAAATTAATTATTGTGATACTCGCAATATTAGGACTTGTTGATATACTGACATAACACCGTTACCTACGGCAACAACAAGCATCGCTGAAAGCGAAATTATTATAGATTCTGAGGTTGTTCCAAAAAGAGGAGCAGCTTCAGTAGTGTGGAATAAACTGTGGTGTCCTGAATGTTTTATGAACAGCCCCGGACCTCTCAGACTCTTTTAGCAACCTACTGCTCATAGGGAACTCATTCAGCTGCTCCTCTGGCAGTTTAAACTCGAACGCACCCTGAGATCAGATTTCCAACTTGGAAACTCGGAGCAACCGCATCAACCCTGACTTACAAATTCAAGATGGCTGCCGGTCACATACATAGTGAGTAAACCCAGCAAGCAATAGTCGTGATTTAAACGTATTGGCTATATTTTGCTCCGATTTAGTCTAGCTACATGTAACCCAAATCTAGCCGATTTAATTTTGAAATTGATTAAATGTAATTTTCGCCATTGCAGATGGCGTGCGGTATGATATTCAATCACGTATGGAGAGTCAACAGTAATTAAAATATGTTTATCTCCATTTTTTGGACATGGTCTCTACATAGCCGTATAATTGAAGACGTCTACACTTTGGCTATGGTTAGACGTCTACCAAATTTTCACTGACAGCCCAAATTCAGCCGTGATTTAGCCTAGACGTCAGGTCTTCATGTAGACTGCTATTAGACGTTTTTTTAAACCAAAAAATGCTTGCTGGGATCACTCTGCTAAAGTACTGTTTATAGCAATTTTATCTTATTTGTTTTACATTAGGTCAGCCATATCTGCGGCGTTCATCAGTTGGAGTGCATGATGGTTCTGAAGCTGTCTATACTCCAAAAGTGCAAGGCTTTCTTGTGGGCGTCCATGTTTTGTTCCGACTTGTCCACTTTTGTCAACTAGAATGCAAAAACTGTTGTCAACTCGGAGGTGACGTCATTCCCACTTCCGACCTCCGACCTCTGAGTACAAAACGAACGTACCATTAGTGCAGCCGCTGGCATGGCTGTGGACTCTTATACCCTTTCAGTCAGCAGACATATGTATAACGAACATTACATTTTTCTCTCTGCTCTCCCTTTCTGTGTTCCTTCTCTCTTTTCCTATTCATGATTAGGTTCACAAAAGCTGGGGAGCCTCTGAGCAGTGTCCCACCTGGGTCAGGAGGTTGTAAAGGTTGACTGACAAGTAATTGACCCCTGTCAGTGTCTGTCTGAAGGGGGCATTAGTCTTGTTAATAGTTTCTGGACAATAATGTAGCTCTGTGACACAGAGGAATAACATCAGGCTTTGGATACACACACAATACTTATTAGTTAGGTACATTTTCTTTTCATGGAATTTGTTGACAATAAGAAAAATATACAACATCACCAGACCGATCCTCAAGAGATGAGATAATACACAACAAAAACATGTGTCTCCCCTCCTTAATCATGGGCTCCTCCTAAGTTTGCATCGTCTCCTACGCCCTTAACCCTTCAACTTCTGAAGCTGACACATAGCACAAATAGAAGAACATCCAGGATGAGGACAGAGCAACATTCTTTCATTTCCAAACATTAAAGCTAAGGAGCTAGAATCCAGAGTTTTGTCTCCATTGGCCTGCAGCTGTGGGACAGGAGCTGGCTGCTATTAGTGGAGCTGGATTACTTACAGTGGGGTAGTTGTGCTTATTTACCGCCAGAGGGAGAAGAGATGAGAGCTGCCACAGAGACTGGAGACACACAGTTTGTGGGTGGTGAGTATTGTGTTAGAGTGTGTGTCTCTGTGTGTCTCTGTGTATATTATGAGTTCCTGTGTGTGTCTCAGAGAAAAGTCGACTGGGGACATGACACAAGGCGGCCTGTCGAGAGCCCGCTGTCCGCTGCAGCCAGTTTGCTGTTAATTAGCAGGACACCAGGGCTCAAACACAAATTGTGTTTACAGTCTGCTTCCTGCATCAACCTCATTTCTTGCACAGCACAGAGAAAGTACACCTGGGTTCATTTAGCAGAGTAAAGTCAGACTGAATGTGTGAGAGATTCACGCAAAGGCACACAAGTGGAAATGTGGGTTAAGATTCCATAATCAGTCCATCAATGAGGCTGCAATCTAAAAATCTCATTATTTCGCTGTAGAGTTGCATGCAGTCTATTGATTCGCTCTCACCTTGCAGGACCGGAGTTACCCATTGGTTCATGGCTTTAACAACAGAGCCGTGCAGTTTTGGTGTTGATATGAGATTAACGGCTCTGTGTCTGATGTTAACCACTACCACAGGGCTTAGGCCCAAGAACCAAAGCATTAGGAGTACAGATGAGATCATGTTGAGCAGGAGCAGAGCAGTTCGTGAAGACCGTACCTTCAGTGCTGCATTGTAGGCATCAACAGTTGATCATCTGCATTTTCACTTGCCCCCAGAGTTTCATTGCAAAAATGCACATGACATGCATCACAATGTTTTAGAGAGTCTACTGTGATATTAGATCTTTCAGGCTGAAACAATCCCCAAAATGGCCCGGAAATCCTGTAAGAGACTTAATAATACTGACTGTTGTGCATTATCAATATATTGAGTACATATAATGACATTACCTTTAGTGCAGCAGCATGATGAGACATGGTGCGACCGACCCTCTTGTCGCTGCTGTACTGCTGGATGTCAGCAATCCACTCCTCACACTGAGACATGATCTCTGTTCGCTTCAGGTAGAAATGTTTATGGATAACCTGCAAACACATGACACAACAGTGTTCACCAACAGGGCAACAGAACAAAGGCATTCTTCTATGCTGTATAAACATAAAGATACATATCCATATAGTTAATACAGGCAACATCTCTATAGTCTTTTGCAGTGCGTTTGTAACATTTATAGCCTGACAAGCCTGTAATTTGCAGCTTATTTACTTACAGCTTACTTCATGTCATATGGGTCGAATTTACAGCGAAGATATGAGACAGAACTGGTGTATGAAACTGTGTTGTTGCACAAATTAAGACAAATCTGCACGAGGTAGTGTGAAATCAGAAAAAGAGGTGATGATGATGCTGCTATTGCATTGTTTCAACTTGTGCACATAATTAGTGCTCGTCCAAAGGCTTTGTGACTCCACTTCATGAACAAGTTTCTGGCAAGTTTTGAGATTAGTCAGAGTCTAAGTTGCTACACTAACACAATGTTGGTACGGTTAGTACATCAGTGATGATGATCACTAAGGGTGGGAATCTCCAGGCACCTCACAAATGAACAAACATTTGCATAACCGATTATAGACATTTGTGAATCAATGCCGAATTCGCCACTTCCGCATCGTGATGCATCTAAGAATCGATTTTTACCCCACCCCTAGTGAATACACACTGCAGAAACATTTCAGTGGTCAAATGTGTATGAATAAAACAACATGAACACTGCCTGCCTTATGTTTAATCTGAATGCACCGTAAAATCAATTGTTAGTACAGTAGTTGTTCATGTTGTGAATATCCATGCTAGCAGTGTGAATCTGAGGATGTCTGTCTGTTGGTCCACCACTTTGGTCCAGACTAAAATCTCAACAACTATTGGATAAATTGCCATTAAATTTAGTACAGATATCCATGATGATCAGAGAATGGATTCTACTGACTTTGATCCCAGACTTTTTCAGAATTCAGGTCAGAATGTTCCACTGAAATATCTCAACAACCACTGGATGGATTACCATGAATTGCAGTTCAGACATTCAGGTTCTCCTTAAGATAAAATGTAATAACTCTGGTGCTCCTCTGTTTTTTTTTTTTCTTTGTGCTTAGTGCTAATGAGCAAATGCTAGCGTGCTAACATGGTGGTGGTGAAGATGCCGATGATTTTAGCTTAAAGCATTGTTGTGCATAAAAACAGCCTTGCAGAGCCACAGGCATAGTTTTAGACTTTTAAGAGTGACACACATACATGTGACAAGCATCAGAACACCAACATTCATTGTTTTCTTTGTAAGCCTGTATACCTGCAGCATCTGGACACACGTCAACTCATCTGGCTTTGACATATTCCCTCTTTCCAAATTTACGTTTTCTAGGCCCGCCTTATTCTGCCTCTGTTTGGCTTCCCCTGACACTCTTACCTTAACCCTAAACAATGGTACTACTCTTGCCCTAAACCTAACCAATACAACCATCAAAGGCGACAAGTAAGCCAAATAGCCAATCATAAGGGGAGTACGGTGGGTCATTCCTTCGCTATCCTACGAAATGCAAATCCACTTTCCAATATCAACCCCTATCAACTCTTCACAAAGTAGCTTTTTAGGATCGGCACTTACATCTACTCAACCATGACAATGTTTTCTATCTATATGATGTGTTTGATGGGAAGGATGTCAAATGATGTAACACTGCTGATGTGTGTAGCATGGTCACCCTGTTCCTCCACAGGATAAACTTTCACCAGTCTTTGGTATTATTTGCTGTATAAAAACTCCACCAAACCTCCATGATATCACAGTTATAGTTTCAAAATGCTTACATACTGGCAGATATTAATCCAGATTTTTATCTGTATACCATAAATGTGAAAACATGTTGAGGAACCTTGCTGATTATTGGGCAGTCACAGAAAATGTGGCTTCATGTCTGTGATCGGTGCCTCTCTGATGAGTCTATCTGCTCCCTCTACAATGGATCTAATGAAGTAGATGCCACACACAGCATACAAATTCCTCTTTTACAATGAGAATAATCAACACAATCAACTTCTCTCTTCATCCTCTCTATTACTGAGGGGCTGTTTGTTATCAAGGGTGCTTAAGTCACTCTCTGACATCATATGTACAACACTCTGCTCGAAAGCTGGTGTCAATCATCTACACCCAAGTCCCCTGCCGTCCTGCCCCTTCAGTCGACTTCCTAGCAACAGTCGCCAGGGCCAGGCCATCAGTATGCAGTGAGCGCTGTAGTGGATGTGTCTGTAGTTGCTGCTCTGCTGGTGGAGGGAGTGGATTAGTTATTATGGTGTCTGCTGATTTGCAGTTTACCAGTAGAGAAGAGGCAAAGAGGAAGCAGAGAGGGTTTGAGGACCGCTTTAATCTCTCCCTTCCTTCTACAGTACATCTCCCTCTGCTCTCTTCATTTTCATTCCATCTTTGTCACGACTTCCCACCTCTCTTCCTCTGTCTATTGTTCCTCCCACCCAACCACCCACTCCCTCTGTTCCCTAAGTTACATTCAGTGAGGTGGGTCTCCAGCTAGGAGAAATGTTTCAAGGTCACAGATGTGTGGTAAACATGGCCAGATCGGCTGTTGCTCATGCTTTCTGGAGAACGAGACAAGGTACAGGAATCGAAACACGGAGTCCACATACAACCCATGATAAGAAACATAAAGACAGAAGCACATGCCTGACATTATGCATAGATATGTGGTTTAAAGGGGTTGTTTTCCCTGGGGAAATATGTTGCGAGGGCAAGCAGCCATTTAACTTTTGGTATTTGGACATTACCATCAATCACAGCTCTGGACAGAAGCTCTATGCAAACCATCTCTGATCATAAAGCAAAGGATGAGACTGTTTTGACAAATGACCTTTCAGAAAATACATGTTTTTACACACACACAGACACACACACACACACACACACACACACAGGTACATAGAGAAATGTACACACAAGTACATTCAGCTCATATGTGCAGTCAGAGACAAGGTTCTCTGATGGAGAGCCCTGGCTGGCAGATAAACCCAGTGACCTTTGAGGTAATGCTGTCCACTCATTATTCCACAGGGCAACTGAGGGAGGAGGAGAAGCCGAGGAATAGATGTGTGCAAACGCTCAACACATAAAGGGTCAAGGGCAAGAGTAAATCGTGCAGCCATTAACAAGTTCCTTATTCTTAGATTTCTGTGTTCCATCAGCGGAGTGCCGAGGCCTCAGGTCCCTGTCCGACTAACACTGACCACAGCCCTGACCTACTCCCATACTGGAGTATAAATATTTCCAACTCTGATGACCACAGCACAGACTTCCATGATGCAAAGCTACATCATCAGCAAAGTAAAACAGGTTTATAGCACAAACTGAAGCACAGCTTATTCTCAACAAACTGTCATCTATTTGGTACAATATCACGTCACCTCACTGAAACAGCAATCTGCATGAAATATCCTTTCAAAGCGAGTAGTTGCTTCAGTCGGAGGCCTCCACGTGGGGAAGACAGACAGGACAGGAGAAAACTCCGACCAATCAATGCATTCGGTCCGAATGCAATGATTGGTCGGAGTTTTATCCCCAGAGCCACAACACCAGTGAGACTAAAAACTTTTATTTTTAAGACTGATTCCTCTCTTGGTATCTCTATGCTTGCTGTACTGGTATAATTGTTTGGGGTCAGGACCAACCAACCTTTCTCTCTCTACAAGTGCCAAATGCCCAGCAATTTATGGTGAATTCTTGCAGCCTTTCTCAATAGTGGAGAGTATGCCAAGTTATTTGAATTCTTTTAAGCTTAAACAGTAATGCATTTGAAAAAATGTATTTTGTTTTGCAGAAAAACTAGAAATACAGCGGTTGTATGCGTTCACAAAGCATTTACATTCATGTCTGTCCAGACTAATGTAATAGTGAAGACCTTGAATGAATTTATTGAAAAAGTATAAAGTGAAATTTTGGTCCAAATTGTAGTTGTCACTATATTGATGTATGATTCCATACTGTCGTAACTGATTGACTACTTTTACACTGAAGTACAGAGGACTGATAGAGACCTTCATCACTTGGTGCAACAATAGTCACCTGAAACTCAATATCAGCAAAAACAGTGAACTTGTGGTGGACTTCCAGGAGAAAAGAATAGACAACAAAGTTGTAGCCATGACAGTAGACAGTATTTCAAATATGGATGTTGTTGCAAAGAAGCTACATATTCTAAAACATAGATTTTTCACACACATCTTCAACCCAACAGCACAGAAGATATATACAATCAGCAGTGTCAAGGTGGAAAGCCAAGATTAGTGTCACCAATTCACCATCTGACCAAATGTCTCCCCTTCTGTTCCTGAGCTATAGCATTGAATAATGGTAAAAAAAAAAAAATCAATATGATGTCAAAGTGAAATTGACCCTCAATTTTCTGGATATAGAGGGCCACCACTTCATCTTTTTATTCTAGTAGACATCAGAGTATAAGTTCCTGATTTGTGGCCAAAAACATGTTTTGTAAGGTCAGAGACCTTTGACCACCAAACTCTAATCAGTATACGTGAGTACAATGGACGTTCATGCCAAATTTGAGAAATTCCTTCAAGGCATTCTTGAGATATCGCATTCAAATGAATGGGACACACAGATCACCTGATAAACATGATGCCTCAAGTCAGGGCTGTTGCTGTTGTGGAGGCAGTAAGATGCTACTTCCTCACAGGAAGGTAAAAAATGTATCACTTGTTTTCAGTATTAGATCTCATCATATTGGCAGTGGTATTACAAATGTCAAACTTTACCTAGCCTTAAAATAATCCCCTTAATGTCCCTGGTTTGTCTGTGACAATATAAAAAAACAAAAGCTGAAGTATTATTGGACGTCACATGTAATATGTACAGTGCTGTATAGTGCAGATGTTAACAGTTAAAGTTCAGGTAGCAATGTACAGCACCACTATACCAAACTTTTTTATTTGGTTTTATTACCATACATTTATACCTCCCAGCTGTAGATGGAGTCCTGGGTTTTGCCAGGCTACATGCAAA